CATGTAAATAAACAATGTATTTAACACTCGTTGTGTACGTCGCTATGAGTCCCATATCATACAGGACGCGACACAACGACTGTCGCCTTTTAATGTTAAAAAAGCGGTAAACTAATAGTCCTTTTTTTCTTTCTTTCATTTTTAAAATATTTTGGCAAAACCCATAAAAATTGTGTGACTATCAGATACAAATCATTCTTTTTTTTTTTCTTCACAGACTGATTTTATTATTAAATAAAACAACGATATTTTTTCACATTTTAAAAGTTTTTTATTCTTTATAGTGGTGATCACACTGAATCTGTTGAAATAGAGTATGATCCTACCAAGACAACATATCGTCAACTTCTGGATATATTTTGGAAGACTCATGACCCAACTGAGTGGAACAAGTCGCAGTACAAGTCAGCTGTATATGCACACGATGAAGAACAAGAAATATGGGCACAAGAAACTCTCTTAGAAGAACAGAAAAATTATGGAAGTAAAGTCGTAACAGATGTACTGCCGGCTGGAACATTTTATGATGCAGAAAAGTAAGTTATTTTATGACTTACTGTAAATGCTTGAATTACTGTAAAATACTTTATTTTCGCTTAAAATTAATTTTCGCTATTTTCGCTGAAGTGATGATTCAGTGAAAATAAAATCCAGTGAATATACCTTTTATCTTATATTTTACATTCAACTTGTTAAAAATCAGTGAAAATAAATTCTGTACAAAATACTCAAAAAGTCTTTTCAGCAAAAATAAATTCCAGCTAAAATAAAGTATTTTAATTGTACTGATGAGTGGAATTCGATAATTTAAATAACGCTAATTATAAAATAACGATAGAACTCAATGTTTACCTGAACTTAAAATCCAGCGGAATTGGTCAAAACATCAATAAATAATTGCACATGAAAATACAGCATTCATTCAAAGTTTAATTCATATTTTCAGCACTTTTCTCTAAAGTTGAAGTTGATGAAAAAAAATATTATGTTTTTATTTTTCTCAGAGACCAATATTTAAAAGAGCAATGGACATCACGCAGAGCTTGTTTGAATTATGTGTTTATATCTTCAACATAAATAAACACTCACTTTTGTCATCTTGTTAAATCTGGATCACATATAATATATGAGAAATAAATTGTGTTTGTTTACACATGTTATAAATGCTGAAGACTATGACGATTTAACGAAAATTACAATTCGTCACGTGTGTGCAAATACTATTAAAGTGTCATGTACAATGTACTGCATTTTTTGCCAATTTTTTTATTCATGTAAATGGGATAAAATAATCATACTATATATACGAGAAAACCGTGAGCACCTAGAGAGAAAAAAATTACTCTATTTTGAAAAAAAAAATTCATTTCCAGCTCTAATAATAATGAAAAACCATTTGAGATCAGTATAATATGGATTAGAAACAGCCCATATGCTTCTATAAAAGTTTTGTGAAACTGATGAACAGAAATTTTGAAAAGATAATTTCCAAACATATCTTTTTGAGATCAAATTGGCTATTGCTGCGGCTCTGTTGCACTGTACTGAAATACAGATGACACAAATGACAAAGCTATTCCAGAGCATGTTGTTTCCATCCGGTTCAATTCTATGTTTCTTTAATAATTCTTGGTGCTTTTTTAGCAGAAATTTATTAAGAAGCAGTAAGTCCCAAATTCCTTCAAATTAAAAAATCACAAAAAATATTAGCAACAAAATTTCAGTTCACTATTACACCATTATAACACCCAACTTTATTTTTCTTTTCTTATGCAGTTATCATCAAAAATACTTCCTGCGTTTCCATGACAATCTGTTACAAAGCCTGGGAATGGGGGATGGAGAGTTACTGACTTCTTACCGAGCATCTCGTCTCCTTGGTTACATCACTGGGAATGGTAGCGTGGAGGAATTCAACAAAGAAGTTAAAAACTTAGCATTGAGCAATGAACAAGCCAACTACATCAGAAAGATTATACGCAATAAAAATAGTGGTTCATGTGCGAAGAAATCACCATAATGGACCAAGTACTTTGAGCATGTGCTCATTTACATAACCAGATACTTTATTTGCATAAACTTTTAATAATCAGATACACTTTTGGATATCATATGCATAGCTAGAAATGTTGCTTTAAAACTACTCTCTGAATATAAATTTGAATTACTATTAAGAAAATAGTATCATTATTTGACATTTATTTACTTCCTAATCAGAAACTTTGATTGATGTTTAATTTGATGTTTGAGTGAATTTCACTATAAAACAATACATTCTATTCGTAAATTTTAATATTCATTGAATTAGCCATCAGAAAAACAATAAAACCTAGTAAATAATTAGGACATGTACAGTAAATTATTAACTTAAGGTATAATTATTGCATTGTTATCATTTTTTGATAAAAATTATTTTACAATTAAACAACTTAAACATGGTGATTAATTAGTTCTATTCAAAACATGTTTATGCATCAGAATATTCTATGTAACACATATCAAAGCTTTATCATTGATTATTATTCAAGACAGATACAAGTGTACATTTCACCAGTTACCTTGAGCAGTGTCCATGTCAGGCATTATAATAGTACAGGTGTACATTTTAACAGGTACCTTGAGCAGTGCCCATGTCAGGTGTTATAGTACAGGTGTACATTTCACCAGTTACCTTGAGCAGTGCCCATGTCAGGTGTTATAGTACAGGTGTACATTTCAACAGTTAACTTGAGCAGTA